TATTCAGGGCCTTTGTGTTCTTTGAACTTGGAAGGTTTGCACTGTTCCTGTACACACTGGCCTGGAAGTTCATGCTTGACGCGCTGGTGACACTTTTACCTCCTCTCCAGGTGTCATTCATGGACTTTCCCATCGGAGGGTGCACATGCTGAAACAGTTTGTTCATCTTGCAGGAGGGATGGGATGGACTTGATCCTTCACTAACCCCCTTCCCCCCGCCCCATCAGTGTCCCAGGAATGCAGGGCTCCTGTGTGGGCTCAGCTGAGCAGCACCTGGAACAAAGACTGCTGATTCCATAAGGTGCCCGCACAGGTGTTCTGGTTCCCACTTCCACTCAGCCTCTTCCCCAGTGCTGCCAGCTACACACACTATCCCTGGTCTGGCTCAGGGCACACAGAAGCCAACAGGCGATCACCAGTCAGAGGCATAAATGTCATGTTGGAAGTACAGGCTGTATACAGGGCTGGAGCCAATGAAGCCTATAGTAACTGGACATATTGTATCTTTTATTTATTTTTTAACTAGGGGCCCGGTGCACAAAAATTTGTGCACTGGGGAGGGGGTTCCCTCAGCCCAGCTTGCCCCCTATCACATACTGGGAGCCCTAGGGGATGTCCTACTACCTGCTCCCTGCTCCCCTTGGGGAGCGGGCCTAAGCCACAGACTGGCCTCCCATTGTGGAAGGCGACCGGGCTGATCAGGGGAAGGCACCAGCCCCATCACCGCACTGTTGCAGCCACTGCCAGTCACGGCAGCCACCAAGGTGTTTTCATCAACACGGACTCCAGTCCCTTTACCATGAAAAAATGACAACTTTCTTTAGGCATTTTCAAGAAGTGTCTTTCATAGGATATGACATTTCTTTCTTTCTTTATCCTCACCTGGGGATATGTTTCCGTTGATTTTTAGAGAATGTGGAAGAGAAAGGGAAAGACAGAGAGAGAAACATCAAAGTGAGAGGAACACTTTGATTGGTTGCCTCCTGCATGAGCCCTGACCTGGGCCGGAGCCAGGGAGGAACCTGAAACCTAGGCACATGCCCTTGGTCAGAATTGAACCCAGAATCTGCGTTGGGCAGGCCGAGGCATTATCCACTGAGCCAAACCGGCTAGGACAGGATATGACATTTCTTAACCCTCCAGCAGCAGACCTTCCTTTTTTTCTCCAGGAGTGTGGTAAAAAAAACCCTAGATCACTTTTTGGACTCTTATTACCCAAGTTACTAAGAATATTACCAGTGGCATACAGGGAGCTTAACCAATCAGCAGTCAGAAAAGGTGTTTCCTCTGTAGTTCATACCAATTGCTGGTTTGGCCCCTGCCCAGGCCTAACGCCTCTGGCGAGTCATTAGCCCTGGGCCAGGGCACCCCCAGCTCCCAGCCACCGTGGCCATCAAGGATCGCTGGCTGGCTGTGCCCCGGTTCCGGCTGCCACCACCATCAAGGATCACTGGCTGGCTCCTCCCTGAACCAGGCCTAAAGCCTCAGGCCGAGGTTTTAGGCCCGGGTTGGGGCACCCCCAGCTCCCCGCCGCCACTGCCGCCATCTACTGGCTGGCTCCGCCCTGGTTCCCCGCCTCCGCCGCCATCAACAATCGCTGGCTGGCTGTGCCCCGGTTCCGGCTGCCACCACCATCAAGGATCACTGGCTGGCTCCTCCCCGGCCCAGGCCTAAAGCCTCAGGCCGAAGCGTTAGGCCTGGGCCGGGGCACCCCCAGCTCCCTGCCGCCGCTGACATCAAGGATCGCTGGCTGGCTCCACCCCGGTTCCCCCAACGCCGCCATCAACCATCGCTGGCTCAACGATCGCTGGCTGGCTCCTCCCTTACCCAGGCCTAAAGCCTCAGACCGTGGCTTGGAGCCGACATATGCAAATTAGCCGCCATCTTGGCTGGCGATTAATTTGCATATCTCGCTGATTAGCCCATGGGAAGGGTAGCGGTCGTACGGCTAATTACCATGTTTCTCTTTTATTAGATAGGATGTGTTTTTATTGATTTTTAGAGAGAGGAGGGGAGAGGGATAGAAAGAAACATCATTAATTGGCTGCCTCCTGCATACCCACTACTGGGAATTGAGCCCGCAACCCAGGCATGTGCCCTGACTGGGAGTTGAACCAATGACCTCTTGGTTCATGGGTCAGCACTCAACCACTGAGCCATACCAGCCAAGCATATGGTTTTTTAAAAAATATGTGTTTTTTACTTTTTAAAAACATGTTTTTTTATTGATTTCAGAGAGGAGAGACGGGGGGAGAGATAGAAACATCAATGATGGGCATCATTGATTGGCTGCCTCCTGCACGCCCCCTATAGGGGATCAAGCTGTGGGCAAGCGCCTTGTCCGGAATCCAAGGGTGACCTCCTCATTCATGGGTTGATGCTCAACCACTGAGCAACGCGGGTCAGGCCTGGTTGCCTATATTTATCTGCTGTGTGATCCTCTTCTGCATGACCTCTGGTCCAGTAACCGTCCCAAGGGAGCTCCCATCTCCTACAACCTGTAACTGCCTTGCTCACCTCCCCTTTAAAGAGTGTAAGGTAACCTGATGCACATTGTGGCTGAGGCCTGACGCTTGCACTCACAGATAAACACTACTGTGCTCTTCATCTGGGGTTAATAGGTGGGGACAAGCTTTCCACCTCCAAGTGGAGGCTGCAAAACGTCAGTGAGAAAACATCCCTGTCATCGTGTCACCAGGAGGTTGCACCAGGCTCATCTCCTTTACTTGTCACGGGAAGAACTAGCTTGCAGAGCAATTAGCATTTAATATTTCGTAATTAGCATGCTTAATGTGATTCTGAGAGGTGCCTTGACATTTTCATAAAAACAGAAAGCACATTCCCGCCCACCCTTCGAAGAGCAAGGCCCCGTTTGTTAAAAAACCGCGTGCCACTCTTTCTTGGTGCTGAATATGCATGTGTTGGCCTCTTCCCAGACACTGCTGGTAAATTTAGAAACTCGTTTTGAAAAGAGTTTCTTATTCAGCAGCCATATGCTCCCGGCTCAGGGAATCTAGCGGGAAATGGCTAAATCCAGCTCAAGTCGCTGGGCGGTGAGGGTCCTTTTCAAGTAAATAAAAACCCTCATGCGCCCCAGACAAACTACACACGCGGCTCAAGTCCAACAGGGAGCCGGATCTGGGGACAAGTCGAGAAATGCATTTACTCTCGCTCCTGCGCAACAACATCACTCTTCGCGGGACAGGGTAGCCGCCAGCTCCCATTTCTCCAGCCCCAGGGTAAGCGGGCGTCTCAGCGCTGGAAACTCCGCGCGCAGCCGAGATGTCATCTCAAGTTTCCCCTCCCGATCCCTCTGCGGCAGAGAACGGCCTCGGTACCACCCGGATCCAGGGAAGGGAGCAGGGGCCCAGGGGCTGCACCGCACCGCCGGCTCCGGGCCGGTGAGGGACCCCTTCCGCCCGCCCCGCCCACCCCGCCCGGAGGCCAGACCACTGCCGCGCTGCCCCGGCCGCAGCCCCACGTGGCCACCTCGGAGCGGGCCGCACTACCCTGATGAGGCCGACGGACAGCCCGCCCCAGCCACTGGGCGCCGCTCTGCGGATCGGTGGCCAATCAAAATGCTAGGATCCCGGCGGGGGCGGTGCCTCCGTGTAGCCTCGCTCCCACTCCCGCGCCACCATTGGAGGGGCTGGGTCCCGCCCCTGCCATCAGGCACCGCCCCCTTCGCTCGTTAGGTTGCGGCGCGGGCGGCGGGCGGAGCTGGTCCCGTTGTGCTGCGTGTCCGCGCGTCTTGCAGTCCCGGGCCGCGCCCCGCGCCGCCCGCCAGCGCGTTGTGCGCAGTGAGGGGGGAAGGTTGAAGTGCATGTGAAACGTTTTTCCCACAGAAAAAGGAAGCA